TACAAAACGAATACCCGATCATCATATAACCTTCTCCTGTACTAATTATAGCTCAAGGACGCTTCGCTGAGTCATCGACGGTGCCACGCAGAATTTCTTGAGAAACTCCAGCCAAGTCTTTTCGCCACGACTTCTTAGGAGCAGCAACAGTGATGCGTTTTGAAGCGCAGGCTTTCCTCTCCAGTATGGACTATATTCAGTGACCATCTCATTGTGGTCCGGGAAGTTCGTAGGAGGACTGGAAGCTGGGATTAATTCGCGAATATTTCCTTAGCAACACCTTCATCTTTTCCCATTCGTGAGCATGCGCGCTGTAGTTTTCAGATCAAATCCCAGAAAACCTTTGACCCTCAAGTGCATCATTTTGAAAAAAGCCTTAGTGAGGTCCGGATTAAATTTTGCACTTTTCCCGAGCAAAATTTGCGTTATCGCTTTTATACTAGAGATTCTTGATCAGACCATCATTATAGAGGGAAAATGGTCACGAGAGGCAATCTGAATCCTCTCGGCTGCTTCGGCACTCGTAGTGTGAAGCGTATGTATTCTCTGGGATCTCAACGTCTCTTCCACGCTGGACACCCTTTAGTCAGAGAAATGTGTGTCGAAGTGCGTGCCGTGCGCAAGTAGAGCACTTCATTTGTTTTCCTCTCCAATTTCTTCTCGTCAAGAAGCTTATGAGGCTTTCGAGTCCCATATGGATACACCTGTATTTACTCGGGGTAGACTCTTCCAATCGAAGTAGAACATATAAACAAGTGAGCAGCTATTTTTCTCGTGTTTTTTGCAGGTTCCGCAGCGTAGTCCTTCCCAAGCATTGTCTCTGGAAAAGGGTCTTAAGTGAGACAAGGCGACGGTTTAGTGGTTTGTCTTTGACCTGTTGCAAATCGCAAGACTGTCATGTGGGAAACGTTGAACCGAGGAGCAGTCTCGGAAAAGGACTCACCAAGTGCACGCAGAGACGGAACCCTGCGAGACTCCACAATTCTTGGACATTCGACGAGTTGAGAGCACCGAAGCAATTGTTTGGGCTAAGGTAGTTCATAAAAATAATTGAAGGTGCAGATCTGGAGAAACTCTCCAAACAATAAAATTACGGACGTCCGAAGGATGATTACCATATTTATGGCGTACCTTGTACAGATAAGTAAATGGTCAGTCTGCCCCACGATAGGCTTGACTGTGATAGAATGAAAACTACTTGCATTGTGACAGGATGTTCACAGTATTATGATGGCCCATTAACGAAAGCCCTTCTTGCTGCAGTGAATGTAAATCGATTTTCTAATTTCCCCATTATTATTGGTCGGACAGCTGGCGTCTTCACCAAGAAAATAAAGGCCAAAGCATGATCGCAGTTGAGTAGCAAACACTGATCCATTTTGGCCATGGCAGCTAATAGCAAAGTTTGAACAAAATTTGTTCCCCTTTATGGTATTGACTACAGTTAATCCAAAATACTGCAACTATTAACTTTCCGTCTACTTCAACTCCTAACTAGAACGAAATTGGAATGCTTGGTCGACGAGACATTACCCTTATCATACCAAATAACGCATTTCTTATCACAAACTTTATAAAGAGGAATACCATCTACTACAACTAATAGAGCGCCCTCAAGGGAGGAGCTCAAAACAAAGAGCAGGACAAAGTCACAAATGCAGTGGGCTTACGCTCAAAAATGCCAATTTGCGATCTGCTGTCTATGGCCTTAGCATGTTAACTTCTGTCAATTGAGCAGTTACTCAGTTGACTGAAGTTCACAGCATCTTGCTGTCAACTCTGATTTAGAGTAACTTAATGAACCTTGAGTTCCAGTAGCGTTGAATGAAGCATACTCGTATGTGGGTTGATGATGTCGCTGTTATAACAAGTCGTTATCCGAAACCCATCTTATCATCATGGCCATCAATTCGTGATTTCCAAATAATTGCTGGTCTGATCATCTGTTGCCTATGACCTTAGCAATAGTTTGCTGCTAACTTCAGTTGACTGAGTGACTTACCAAACCTTGCGTTCCAGTAGGATTGAATGGGTCCTACTAGTATGTGCATTGGTGTTAACGCTATTATCACAAGTCGTTATCCAAAACCCATCTTATCTTCATGGCCATCAATCATTTTTCGTGATTTCCAAATCATTGCTGGTTCAGTAGGTTCTAGTAGGTCCGCCTAGCAGCTTGTTGTAGATGCGAGGAAACTTCGAAGATACAATGTCGTTTTTTATCAAATGTACCTGCATTTTTGCTTTTTTTATTTTCAACTGTTTGTGTGACACGTTCCAAGCTTTCCATGATCCCTCTTGCTTTTGTTGATCTTTTATCTACCTACCATTAGTACGATTTTTTTAGTTTCTCTGCAAACCTCCGTGGTTCTTACTCGGTGCATTCATTCCACTCTAAGCTGCCGATGATGCAAGCTGCCCGGCTGCAGCTAGCCGCTTCCCTTCATGGCCACACATCCCGTACGTCGGAGCTACTCATGTCCACCCTTGGCAGTGCGTTGGTAGAAGCCTGCATTGATTTCCAAACAGCGGTAGACGAACGAGGGCAGGACGAGGAAGAACACAATGTGAACAGGGAGGAAGAACTGAGCAAATGGCGGCATGGTTGAATGATGGCATGTTGTTGGAAGTGATGATATCGCGTGTACCCTATACACCACGGCTCTCAATGCCACGTGGCAATCGTTGCGGACCTGACTCGACTGGACTGGTCTGACTTGAGTAGTTTGTTTCCAACATACTTTATGTGACAGCATAGAATTCATGTTTCTTCCATGTTTATTTTTATCTTTTGCGGTCAAAGATCGATGAAATGAAAAAAGGAGTGGAATTGGATGTTTGTTAATATAATACAAAAATAGTAGAAATGATAGAAAAGCGCTTAATTATCACCTAGCACTCGTATTACATATTGCCATCGAGCAGGTTAAGATTGTTTTCTGAAATATTCCTCGCTTCAGTGAGTTTATTGCTGTCTTGAACTCTTTGCAAAGTTTGTAAATACTCTTTAATTAGGCTGACGTTTCGGTGGAATCGCCTTCTTCAAAGCCTGAAAGGATCATAACAATCTATGACCATCCGATCAAACGTCTCCAAAATCCCACTAAGTTCGAGACACCCCAGGGCACGCAGGTGACCGAAAGGATAACCACTCACCGTAAGTTAGTGGATTCTTCGAAACCACCCAGCAAGTGATGGTACCAACCGACCAGTGTCAGCTGAGGTACTTTCTCATTGAGTCTCTGCGAAAGAGCCAATCCTCTCTATACATAAAGCGCTAACTTTGTGTATCCATTTGTATACCCGTTTGTGTGTCCTCCCAGAGGTCACGTAGGCACGATCAAGAGCGTGAAGATCACAAGAGCGCGGTGAGAAAAGAGCTATGAAGTGGGAAGTCAAACGATGCTGTCTATATTTGTTCGTTGATTAATATTCAGTCTATTTATGACATCACAGACTAAAAATCACAACTCGCCTCCCACGACGCAGGACAATCAAACCCGTAGGAACTAGAGGAATTAAGGAAGGAAGTAATTCCACGATCACCTATTAGTTTCTAGAGATCAATACCCACAAAGCGGCATCGGATCGTTCAAATTGGGGAATATCACCTAATGAGGTAACGGTTATGAAAAGGGAGGTCAACTGACACTGTTTATATTGGTCCTCTAACAAGTCATAGGTAAGCGGTAGTGGACATGGCATTGTGCACGCGTTAGTGTGCATAGCCCAACTGGTCTTATATAAGGCCGTAGTTCCCCCTTGTTTGCGAGACATTCTTCCCTACGATTCATTTTGGGCCCCGAGAGTTTTTTTTTTGTGACCGTTGTGACTCCTGTGCTACGACCCCCACGGTTACTTCAAAAACGCCTCCGTTATGATTCTGAACTCGGTGGCTCCCTCCTTAAAGCAGTAGACTCTCTCAATCGTTTCGTACCATCTGTGTGCTCCTTGACCCTCACGTGGAGTGGACTTGCCGTTTCTGCAATATACTCATCACCACAATCACGGCAAGTATTTCTGTGGGCCACCCTAGACATGTTACAATTACCTTTCCTTCCAGCTGGACAAACCACACTGTTTGAGGTTGTACATAGCAGTCGCATAGCCTGTTCTGAAACAGGCGCTTCTTTAGATTGAAGAGTGGTACGTTTACAAAAGCAACCAAGTTTTCCCAACCTGAACTCTTTGGACGCTTTCTAATGGAGGCACTCCCCATCAGAAATAAATGGTAGTACAAAAGGCCAAAAGTCTTTCCTTCCATTGGGGTACTACCATGTCTGAGGATCACACCACCAGAAGAAGCTCTACGTTAAGTGGGAAAATACAGGTCACCAATCCCAAAATGAATCGAAGGGAAGAATGTCTCACAATCAAGCGTGAGCTACGGCCTTATATAAGATCGGCTCTCCCGCAGAGACCACAATGAGGACGTACCCCAGCTGACACTGGTCGGTTGGTACCATCACTCGCTGGGTGGTTTCGAAGAATCCACAAAGCTACGGTGAGTGGTTCTCCTTTCAATCACTTGCGTGCCCTGCGGGTGTCGAACTTCAGTGAGTTGGTGGAGGCGTTTGGTCGGCTAATCACAAATTGTTATGATCCTTTCAGCCTTTGAAGAAAGCGATTCCGCCGACACGTCTGCCTAATAAAGGATATTTACACACCTCGTGTAGAGTTCAAGACAACAATAAACTCAGTAATAAAACTATGCCGAGGTTCATAGAAAGCTGTACATAGAACTTCTTTTCAGTGTTTTCACCTACATAGGTAGTGTCCATCGAAATAAGGTGGTGTTCGAGTACATTCGCTCTACACGTAGACAGCTTTTTCCCTCTACAACTTCTCGAATTCTATTAGTTTTTCAGACAATTCTGATGACCAGGAAGTAGTGCCAGGATTCACAATGAAGGCCAACTCCTTCCCTTTTGTAGTGCATTACTAGCAAAGCTAAATTTCGAAATTCATAAGTTCCTCTTAAATCATGTTGAAAAAGATATTGTACTCCTATACCCAATCACTTGTCACATCTCCTTTTGCACCATCTATCATTCAAACTTTTCTGTTCTTTCTTATTCTAACAGTTTTTCTGTTTCAAATCTTTTCACCATCAAAAATTTGTGTAGGAGGAAATCAAAGAAGCATTGAAACTCTCAGTCTTTGATCTAGGGACCATGGACTTGCCCACGAAATTCGGAACCACTCTACAACTTCGACCTGGAAACGAATGTGAAGAAGTAATGAATAGAAAAAAGTTCATGTCATGGGTGACTAGCGTAAGTATTGGCTCCGTTTTTTCGTGAATATCCGGTTTGGACCAGCTCCCAGTTACTGACATTTCCTTACTGCGTTACCGAAGAATATTCTCTTCTCATTCGACGTAACAATGGAGTTAAAAAACTCCAATGCTCTTCGCGTGGCAGGGTAAAACTTCGGCCGCAGCAACTCGTTCACCTTGTCCGCATCGCTTAATTGATGAGGAACCCATTGGAGTATGTATTCGCATGCAAAAACGTTTCGACGGTGATGTGTGAGCACTCGATCTTCTTTGCCAGTTCCCGTGTAGTAATAGAAGATCCCATTCAACGACGAGCTCCAATTCTTCGTTATACAGTCCAAAATCGATAACCACACTGCTCTTACTAAAGGCTGTCATCTCCATCTCCATAGTCCTGAAACCATCGGTGTGTTGTAGAAGAACGCCGAACGGTCGTATTCTACCTCTCATAGACTTGACTGATGTTTAACGATATTGTCTATACATTCATACTGCTAGTCACTGATGGGTGATTCTCGACTATAGAAGCCTCGTTCTATGGAATACATGGCAATTGTCTCCTCGTGCCCAATGAAGCTCTTTGTTTGGAAGCTGAAACACGGTGACACTGCCTCAAAGATGGTGAACATATACATATATACAAAATACATATACAATCATGTACATGTACAACCAGCCGCGCCGTTTGACCTGATACGTCTGCCTTTTGACATACTGCCTTTTTCCAGCTTAAATTCATTGTGTGGGTAGCTTCTTCTGCTGTAGTGTAACTGATACAAATATTATGAGTGCCCTACATTGAAATGTAGGAACGTGTTCAAATTCACCTTCGAATCAAGTGATTGTCTTTGACTAAATATTTGATGAAAAAATCCTTTATTCCCATTTTTTTAGCCATTATCAGTTAGAGAGGCATTTCAAGGGCAAGAGAACATCATAGATAAGTCTGCCAACGTGCGAAGAAGGTGGGCGGGCCTATTCGTTGAATTTTAACCTTACTCAGTATTCATGTGTAGGATAAAATAACTTAGGCATAGTATTTATAAACCCTCTTTGAATAAACAACTTCAATGGCGTGAATCAGGCATAGTCTTTACCATGACGTTTTTGTCTTGTGAACAAAGTTGCGTCACGTTCGGCCAATTCACAGAGCGAGATTCATATAGAGGCATTTTCGAATGACTCAACATCAAAGAAACCAAGGCGCAGGATTAAACAATGGAGGAAAAGATCTAAGAGTTGGCATAGGTATGACGAGGAATGGAAGAAATTCTTCGTTCTTTTGTACTATCTAGTTGAATAAAAGTAGCGTCATTTCCCGGTACGATATTCTGAATTACACAACTTTGTTCACAACCAACTATAGTAGGCGCAATATTGCCACAACTCCCTCCATCGCTTGATTTTGCAATCGTCGGTTATTAACTAGTGAATGGATTCCCTATTACTAGATCGCTACTGTCCTCGACGCTAAGAACGTCTGAGGGCCCATTGGGGTATTGGCGATCATCGTGGCTCTTGTTCCCCAACAAGTGAGCGCAAGCGGATGAAGTGGTAATTAATTAGTTGCTACGGTAACAAGAGAATACGGTGGGTAACACAGGACTACGAAGCTTAATCCGTGTTTTGCCCTCTAATTGTAAGTTCCCTTTGCGACATGTGGGCGTTGCCTGTTGCAGGAAATCATCGTTGTAGGAGGCTGTACCTTTGGAGCTCCTCAGCAACTCTATGCAGTTGCAAACAGTAGGTGAATGGTCAGCCGTCGACAGTAGGCGTGCTGTCATTCAGAGAATCGTAGTTATGCAGGCCTTGTTCACTCCAACAAATGCATCGCATGACCTTTCTAGGGTGTAGGTAACCCTCGAACTCTCGGCACTAACAATGGTTAATGATCCGCATCCACCCACCGATGCCCTGAGTAAGATTTACATAAACTACCCACTTCTCGTTCCCAGTAACCATCTTTTCGAGTCGGCGGATCGGCGACTCCTGGACAGCCAACCTGGGCAATTAACACGTGTCAGCCTCACTCAGTTCGTGTGAATCTAGCTTGTACGATTTCTCCATAGCTAGGAAAATGTTTATAATTCTTTGAGAGCACTGCACGAGTGCAGCAAGTGGACGCGTGGGTTCCTAAGAGCTTCTCGATCCCATGGAAATAAATTTATGGTCAGAAGGTGACCCAAACATGGTGGGTCTTTGAGCCTATAGTTGCCTTTGTGGAATCTCCCAAATCAACGATCATAGGATATTCCGTCTACCTCTGTCCAGTTCATCTGCGTCACTGATAAGGAGGCTCGCTTAGGGTCGTAGACGGGACTCGTAAAGGAG